ATCTTAAGTGATATCAATAAAACCAAAATTGTCATTTTCTTAAAAAAAATTTATACTCAGAAAACCATTGCAATTTTGAACTTCCAGTCTAGTTAGACGGATACTGAAGGTTCACATTGAAGGTTCATGTTAACCAGCGGCAACCTTTGGTTTGAAACCCAGTTGCTATAACCCAGTAAAGACTTATGGCGGTTTTATTTGTAATCACTGATACCTGTTCTCTGTACCCCTTACACTTGTATAAAAGTAATAACAGCTATGATTTCTTGAAAATATTATTTCTCTGAAATGACCTTTTCCCCCTAATTAACGAATAAGATAGATCTATTTGTCCCATTCTCTGTCTTAAGGTCTTTCTCTGCCTCCCCCCTGCCTGCGCAATAGCCCTAAGCTCATTGACGTGGCCTCCTAACCTCATCTCTGGCCGCTCCCTCACCCTCACGGGCTCTAGCCGTATGAAATTACATACAGTTCACTTCAAGCCACGTCCAGTCTTCCTTTTACACATGTGCTGGTCCTGCCACCTGGAACAGCCTGATCCAGGATCCTTGCCTGACAAACTGCTATCGGTGCTTCAGAAGCCAGCTTCGAGAGGTGTCACCGCCCCAGGAGTCCTTCCCTGGTCTCCCCGGGCTGGATCCAACGTCCCTCTCCAGCTCCCGCAGAACCTGGGACCCCGTCTGGATTGTGATTGACCATAGGCTCCTTGGAGGCTGGGGCCACAGCTTAGTCGCCGTTGCGGTCCTGGTTCCCAATGCAGCGCACAGTGAGGGAATGAACGAGGGGCATTTTTAAATGTGTTACATTGAAAGTTGCTTATCCTAAAAACAACAAGCGTTTCGCATTCCCATTTGGTTTGTCAAAGTGCCAGGATTGGGAAATAGCACTGAGGAATCAGAAAAACCTCATGTCACCTGCTTAGAGGAAAAAGAATATCAGAGGAGCTGTGTGTTTGGTTCTAGATCTTGGAAGTCCAGAAGGCATCGCACTTGACCACCTCGGCCGCAACATCTTCTGGACGGATTCCCACCTGGATCGAATAGAAGTCGCAAAGCTGGACGGCAGCCTGCGCCGGGTGCTCTTTGAGACGGACTTGGTGAATCCCAGAGGCATCGTCACGGACTCCATGAGAGGGTATCTCTGCGTAAATATGCGTGTGCATCTGTTCTATGTGCGTCTGCCCTTTTAGATATGCCCGGAGATGAGGCTCTGACTCCAGCGTTGCACTCCCGCAAGGAATGAGTACAGAATGGGGGATTTGCAGATATCCACGGCGAAACACCAGAACATTTATTACAATGTGGACTTGATACCACGTTCCACTTTCAGATCTCTTACCAAGAGACTTTGTAAGTTGACAACTCAGAAATTGGATATTTTCCAATTGAGTTGAATGTGGATCAACACTCAAGTTGTGTCAACTCCAGAAGAGTATTGGGGTCCCTGGGACTCCTTCCTGGGGTGGACCCAGCTTGAGCATGCTGGAGACTTTTTCCTGTGGGTTTCTCAGCACATCAGTGCTCTCACTTCCCTTCTCCTTGCTGCGAGCTCTGAATCTTACACCCCAGGCCCTCGGCTCCTTGACACTTAGATGCCTTCTCTTTGGGCCCAGGTCCCTTGTTCTGTGGCCACTCAGCCCCCTCCCTAATGACAGGTGCTTTGACCTCTGCCTCTGCCAGCATCTGTGTCTGGCCTTAGTCTGGTCCCCTGGGTCTTCTGTGCCCTGTATGTGGTGGCAGCCTGTGGGGATTTCTCACCTGTTTATGTCAGGTGTAGCATTTTGTTTTGTTTTGTTAACAGCTTAATTGAGATATAATGTGTCAGTTACATTAAAGGGAACTGAATTTGTTAATAACAGAATAACCAGATTGGAGTGAGGAACCAAATCCAGTGTCCTTGCAGAAGAACACGTGTTTTATCCCCTCCAGACCCTTTTTAGCTGTTCTGTGTTTTCCTGTCTCCTAGTCTCTGCATCATAGGTTCTTCTCAAGTGTTTTTCATAAACTTTTTCTCATGCATCTTTAATATTCCTTTTCCTCTTTCCCCTCCTTTTCCTCCTCCAGCAACCTTTATTGGACAGACTGGAACAGAGATAACCCCAAAATCGAGACTTCCTACATGGACGGCACGAACCGGAGGATCCTGGTGCAGGACGACCTGGGCTTGCCCAACGGGCTGACCTTCGACGCCTTCTCATCTCAGCTCTGCTGGGTGGATGCAGGTGACAGAAGGCTTGGCGCTGTCCAGGGAGGGTTCTCAATCTCCTGTCACGGTTGACAAATCATAGTCCTCGGGCCAAATTTAACCAGCCACCTGTTTTTGTATAACCCGGAAGCTATGAACAGTTTTTATTTACATTTTTCAATGTTACATTTTAAATGGTTGTATAAATACCTGCATATGGTCCTTGGTTTTGCCTCCTGGCCCATGAAACCTAAAATAATTACCATGTGGCCCTTTAAGAAAAAGTTGGCTGACCCCCTGTTCTAAGTGGCACCGCATAGAGCCTGCAGTCACCCCGATACCTATTAAGCAGTTCACAACTTGCATCCCCATAGCTTCCTCTCGTCCCCAAGGGCTTAGGTGGGACTTTGAGCCAAGGAAGATAAAGTAAGAGCAGCCCACATGCAGCCCCTGAGGTGTGTCCCTGCCTTGGCAGATGCAGGGTGTCCCTCAGGCTAGGGATGTGGGCCGGATGCTCGGCCAGGAAGGAACATAAGTTCTGTTCCAGACATTATGTCAGGTACCATGGGGGATGCAGAGACTCTGAGATGTGGTCCCTGTCTAGTTAAAACAAGGTGTAGGACCTAAACCCTGAAATGAATGCACAAGCCGTGAGTTGCAGTCACCAGGTAGGCATTGTCCCGGGCTGTGTACAGCTGCTAACCAGGGGTACAGTTTAGAAATTCTTATGGGCTCTGAATTCAGGGAGGCAGGCTCTGGAGAGGCTTCCCGGAGGAGGAACTTGAGCAAGAGCTGGAAGATGGCATAGGTCTTGCTAAGAGAAAGGAGACCTGGGAAACAGAGCAGGCCAGACACCTGCTGCTCCAAGAACAGCTGAAACAAGGTGCGGTTCCTCTGTCCTGGCTCATGTCTCCCCGGTAGAACCAAGACGGGAGGAAGAGACAACTTTCCAATTTTTAAGAGCAAGCCCCATGTGTTCTCCAGGATTTGTCATCATACAGCTGAATTTCTCCCACTCTTGCCCTCGTTACTCTTGTTTTTTGATACAAAGGGGCCATTTCTTGCATGAACAATGAACGTCTTGTTTTCACTCCATGCAGGCACCAACCGGGCCGAATGCCTGAACCCCAGTCAGCCTGGCAGACGCAAGGTTCTCGAAGGACTCCAGTACCCTTTTGCTGTGACGAGCTACGGGAAGAATCTGTACTACACAGACTGGAAGACGTATGTCAGCTGCGGCCAGCACTGTGGCAGGCTGGCCTGCCCTCCCACTCTGTCTCTGAGAGGCCGGGCCCTTCCCATCTGGCCTCTTGGCTTGGCCTTCAAGCCTCCAGAGATGTCCACTGTCCCTCATCCTTCTGGTTGTCAAGGAGATGAGAGAGGAGGGTGAAGAAGGAAGGACAGTGAGGCCCCAGGGGAGCAGAAGAGGGGCCATTTATCATCTGAACGCTCCTGCCTGGGCAGTTTCGAGTCTGTAAACTCAGACTTGCTGAGCGTGTCTGTTCCTTCCCTGGGAGCTGGCCCAGGCTTGCTTGGCTGGTGGGCTCCGTGCCCACTTCATGCCCCTGCTTCATTATATATTAGTTCTTAAACTGCAATATTCCCACAGCCCCTTCTTAACAACCCCTTCCTGCAAAAGGAGGGGTTAAACCAAGGAGGCAGCTGGCCAGGGCGTCTATACAGAAAGCCCATTTCCTGCCTGGAATTTAGAGTGGGAGGGCAGAGCTAGCTGATCTTTATCCTTTTATAAAAAGCTAGAGAAATGCAGGCTAGAGGAGGAGGGAGGGATGTCTAGGAAGCAAGGCCACTGTGTCTGTGTATGACCTCCAGTTTACCCCACCAGAGGCTGTCCTGTCCAAGCCATCAGATATATTTCACCTTCTGCCTTTCGGTGCTTTGTAGGAATTCCGTGGTTGCTGTCGATCTCGCTATTTCCAAAGAGATGGATACCTTCCACCCCCACAAGCAGACCCGGCTATATGGCATCACCACAGCCCTGTCTCAGTGTCCTCAAGGTAACTCATCTGTGCCGTTACTGTCAGGGGACATGGGGCACCCTGAGGCTCAGAGCCCACATTCTGGCTTCTACCTGTGTGGCCACCAGTAGCCCTGATTACATTCTAGGAGAGATGCAGTCCCCTCCATCAAGGGTCTTCTTTAGTGGGTGAACCAGATAAAAAAACAGAAAGTATTAGGTCATGAAATGGACAGCGTGAGGAAAAGCACTGAGTCTTGGGCTGGGTCTAGAAGTATATAGTCTTCAGGTTCCAAATAGGAATATTAATGTTAGGACCTCTGCTGCTTTTAAAAGTCCATCCTTTTTGCCTAACAGCAACTACAATGGTAAATAAGAAGAAGAATTGCAAACATATGTATGGTACTTACTGTGAGCTAGCAACTTTACACATATCAACTCACTTAGAGGTCTAAGTGCTTTGTATTCATCAGCTCATTTAATCCTCACAGCAACCCTATGAGGTAGGTGCTATAATTATGTCCATTTTATAAATAAGGAAACTGAAGCAACTTGCTCAAAGTCACATAGCTCACAGGGGCGAGTCCAGGCAGGCTGGCTCCAGAGTCTGTGCTTTGCTGCCTCTCAAAGTCCTTTCCCCCACCCTCTTTCCTTCTCAGCTTGCCTCCTCTTCCCTGGTCAATATTAGGCCAAGTGTGCAAGCTAGATCGTACTTTGTATTTTAAAATTCCAACTCCGTGTTATGATCAGAGCTGGAGAAACCTCCCTGAGATCTGTTAAATAGCTTTCGTGGTAAATCTGCAGAGCCCCCAAATCAGGTATCAGTGTTTTTGCCTGTCTCATTTAATGATGAGGAAAGAAACAATAGATCAGCTTAGCTGACTGCCTAGTACAGTGTTTCCCATTTCCCTGGAGTCCTTGTGAGCTTGGCTTCATGGAAACCAAAAAGGGGTTCACACAATAGGAGGCCACTCTCTTGGATGGCTGTGGAATCAGGTCTGAAAGGAGGCTATTGAACTGATTTCTGCCTTTTCCAGGTCACAACTACTGCTCAGTGAACAATGGTGGCTGCACCCACCTCTGCTTGGCCACCCCAGGGAGCAGGACCTGCCGTTGCCCTGACAACACCCTAGGAGTTGATTGTATTGAACGGAAATGAAGACAAGAGTGGCTCATTCCCTTTCCAAGTATTTCACAGCAATACCCTACTTGAAACTACTTGGTCTAGACTGAAAATTGTCCTCTGGCTGAGTGGCCACTAGGTCCAAGTCTAGCCCAGCCTGAGCCCCAACAACCTTTCCCTCACTGTTCCCCAATATGTGCACCCTGGACTTCTGGGATGGAAAAGTCTCTACTCCTACAATAGGACAGAACCGCCCCCCGCCATCAGACAAGCTTATTCAGCCCTGGGTGAGGATTATGTGCCCATCTCAGTTCCCTGGACCTTTTCCCAATCCTAGCCCCCCAGTGGTAAGCAGAACCTCCCAGTCTGAGTTGCCCCCTTCCCTGTGGCCTTACGAGCTCAGCCTCACTCTGAGGTACCCACCATCCTGTCAGCTCCTTGACACACCAGCCAGGGCCTGGCCAGGCAAGGTTGGGAGTGAAGGAGGGTGTTAGCCCTCCTACAATTTTTCTCTTGGTGCTCTGATTTCCCTCTTTATACTCCCATTGTTTTACTCCTCAGTTCTTCATCACCTTCATCCTGTCCAAGATCCCCATTATATTGATCAACTTCTGCCTTTTGATCAAAACCTACCATGTCCTAGGGATATGTAAGTATTTGGTGGATGATAATGAGCAGCCCCTACCAGATAGGATATTTGTTTTTGAGCTGTAGGGTATTGACATTTGGTAGTCAAAGGCTTAAGTTAAAGGGGTGTCTATTGGTAGGAATTTCAAGGTATAGAGTCAGAAACTTGAGTTTAGGGAATCATTATGATGTGCCTTAAGCTTTTCCAAAGATTATCAAATTATTCCTCTTTGCCCACAACACCTGCATCCCAGCTTCTGGTCTTTGATATTATGCTGGTCTTAAGCCCCACTGTTGGAACCAATGTCCAGCTTCCTCATAGAGACCAATTTGAGACACCGGCTGGGGCTGATACCAGGTGATGATCCACCATAATCCCTCACCTCCCCTCTGGCCTTCACTCCTGAGAACCAATTTACATTCAACCATGAATTCACTCCTCCTTTGTTTCTCCCTCTATCTGTGCCCTTTTCTGGCTGTATTCTCATCTAAAGACACAATCCAGAAAGACTGAATTGAATATTTATACTAATGGTCCAGATCCTATTTATTGTCCATTGGTAGAATTAAAAGGGACCATCACAACATTTCATGTTTATATTTCTACAATTTGTTTAGAAAACATCTCCTCACCACGTCAGTAGCTAGTGTTATCTTTTTATCAACTGCTTCCCAGAGTCCTAAAACAATAGAAATTTTGGATTGGAAGTTGAGCAAAAGGGCTTTGAGTCAGTAAAGGATGGGGTAAGGGAGTAGAGAAGACTCAGTGAAAAGTATCACAAAGAGCTTGATCAAGAACAGGAATGGAAAACCCAAGAGGAAGAGGTAGGGGAGGACATTTAGGAACAACAATAATAGGCCGGGCGCGGTGGCTCACGCCTGTAATCCTAGCTCTCTGGGAGGCCGAGGCGGGCGGATTGTTTGAGCTCAGGAGCTCGAAACCAGCCTGAACAAGAGCGAGACCCCGCCTCTACTAAAAATAGAAAGAAATTAATCGGCCAACTAAAAATATATAGAAAAAAAATTAGCCAGGCATGGTGGCGCATGCCTGTAGTCCCAGCTACTCGGGAGGCTGAGGCAGAAGGATCACTTGAGCCCAGGAGTTTGAGGTTGCTGTGAGCTAGGCTGACGCCACGGCACTCACTCTAGGCAAAAAAAGCGAGACTCTGTCTCAAAAAAAAAAAAAAAAAAAAGAACAACAATAAGAAAAAGTATCTCCATAGAGAAAATGGTACATTTTGCCAAAGAACACTTATACTTAAGGACATGGAAGAATTTGTTTGATATTCTCCTTGAGGAAGAGATCCCTCCTCTTCTCTTCAAACCCCAGTACACTCAGCCCTTCCACTCTGTCCCCTTCTGCCTTTGTCCTCACCTTGCTTTTGTAGTACATTGGAGCCTGAATTGGGAGAGAGTTTTTTGAATAATTGGAGTTTGTCCTGAGAGGCAATTTTGGCCCCAAGAATTAAAAGATTTGGGGAACATTTAGGTCTTTTATACAGCCCAACCCCATAAATTAGTCTCACTTTCTTTTTGTATTTATCATTCCATATCAAACCCTCTATATCAAATGTTCAACATGATTTTATATAATTTTTATAACTATTTTATTCATTTTATTAGATTTATTCTAAAATTTTAAAAATAATAAATTCTTAAACTGTGGAAACCACTGAAGGTGCTTATTAATTGTTCTCCCAGGATGATTCTTTGCGTTTACAACTGTACAAATATTAGTGTGGAAAATAAAATTTTTTTGTTAAAAAGAAAATCTTCCTCTCTCTTTTTTGAATGAAGAGATTTAATGCTGGGAGGACATCATGATGGAAAGATGGCAGCCATTTAATAATCTGTAAAACCTATGAAACCGAGAGACTCTTATGCCAGTCTCATGAGGGACAGTATGTTTCTCATGCCAGTCCACAAAAGACTCATGGGCTTATAATTGACTTAAAAATAAATATGTCATAGATCCCAAGCCACCCTTTTGGACATTGTTTTTATTTTTTAGAAAAATCTATTCTATGTACAGGCAACAGGAAATGGTTTCTGATTCAGCCCTGAAAATGAGTTGTGTTTTTTCCTCTCCTCACCTCCAGAAGAAAGAAAGACACTTTCCTGACACTAGCCATGGCGTGAGACCCCTAGTGTGTTCTAAGCTGCCACTGGAAGGCAGTGCCACTCATGCTGGCCCTTGGAAGATGAAAATGGCCTCTAACTTGGACAGAGTGAAGGGGGCTCAGAAGTTGCAGGAATGAGGTGATCAGAGCTCATTGCAGAGAAGGGAATTGGCATCATCAGTGGAATCAATGTGCAGCCTGTCAATGTGAATTTCTTGAAAGGGACTTGTTTATATTAAGGCCAATACTTCCAGTATTTTCTTCTGGCCATAAAACCTAGTTACCTAAAGATGACATCAGGGAAGATGGTGGAAGTAGGAAACTCCAGGAATCCATCCCTCCATCACAATAGTTGAACTGGCAAGACCTGTCTGAAGCAACAAAATTGTTGCTGCGTCTTGAAGAACATTTGCAGTACCCAGGAGAGAGCTTGATGGCGAGGCTAGTCAATTTCGGTCAATTTCAGCTTTCACTTAGTAGTGACTACCATCCCATCACTCAGCCCCATGACAGGCAGCTGTGAGGACTGGAGTCAGGCTGGGCAATAAGGATCTAGTTTTTCAACAACCAGGATTGTGGGTTCTGGTCACTGATCACTGTGATTTTGATAATTGAGGGGCCAGCATATAGGGAAAGATTTCTGTGACACTGGATTTGGCAATGATTTCTTGGACATGACGTCAAAAGTATAAGCAACAACAACAACAAAAATAGATAAATTTGACTTCATCAAAATTAAAAAGAGAGTGAAAAGACAGCTCATGGAATGGGAGAAAATATATGCTATATCTGATAAGGAATTAATATCCAGAATACATAGCCGGGCACAGTGGCTCACGCCTGTAATCCTAGCACTCTGGGAGGCCGAGGCGGGAGGATTGCTTGAGCTCAAGAGTTCGAGACCAGCCTGAGCAAGAGCGAGACCCCATCTCTACAAAAAAAAAACGCAATGTATAAAGAACCACAACTCAACAACAACCAAAAAACTCACTTCAAAATGACTAAAGGATTTGAATTAACATTTCTACAAAGAAGCTATACTAATTGTCAATAAGCACATGAAAAGATGCTTAACATTACTACTCATCAGGGAAATGCAAATCAAAACCACAATTTGATACCACTTCATACTTATTAGGATGGCTGTTATCAAAAACCAAGCAAATGTTGGAGAGAATGTGGGAAATTGGAAACTTTGTCTATTGCTAGTGGGAATGTAAAGTGGCGTGTCACTGAGCAATGGCCTTACTGCCTGACACACATAGAAGCCAATACGACGGCACTAGGTTTTAAGAAAAGAAAAAGCTTTATTGTAAGGTTGGCCAGCAAGGAGACAAGAGGCAATGCTCAAATATGTCTCCCTGAGCTGGGGTCTGGGGGCAGGTTTTACAGGAAGAGGATAACTATGGAGACAGGAAAATGCAACGAGGCATGATTTGATTGGGTTACACAGAGAGGCAGTGCTGGCTCCTTGGCTCTTAAGTTCATACTGCAAAAAAACAGGGCACCCCTCACTTCTTAATTTGGTCGGTGCTCCTCGGTCTGGGTACTCAGGTTCAATATCTGCGGTTGACTTTTGCATTCCCACCACTCCAGGGTCACTAACTGGGCATGCTTGGTTCATCTGCACATGCTCAGGTTTACATGACTTGCAACCTGGGGGGCCGTTGCAACTGAAAAACAACTAACTTGTCATTCTGCTATTGACAAAGTTGAACCAGTTGGAACTGGTTCTGTGGGTACAGATATACGTTCTGTGGAAGACAGTTTGGTGGTTCCTCAAAAAGTTGAATATATAATAGAATTACCATATGATCCAGCAATTCCACTCATAATATACACAAAAAGAATTAAAAGCAGGGGCTGCAGATATTTGCGTGCTAATGTTCATTGCAGCGTTATTCACTGTAGCCAAAAGGTGGAAACAACACAAGTGTCCATCAACAGATGAATGGATAAACAAAATGTGACATGTACATGCAATGGAATATTATTTAGCCTAAAAAGGAATGAAGTTCTGACACATGCTACAACATGGATGAACCTTGAGGACATGGTGCTATGTGAAATAAGTCAGATACAAAGGAAAAAAATACAAGATCCCACTTCTATGAGGCATCAAGAATAGACCAGTTCACAGAGACTGAAAGTAGATCAGAGGTTACCAGGGGCCGTGGGAAGGGGCAGTGGAGAATTATTGCTCAGTGGTTACAGAGTTATTGTTTGGGGTAATGAAAAGTTTTGAAAATAGATAATGGTGATGTTGCACAATATTGTGAATATAATTAATACCACTGAATTGTACACTTAAAAATGGTTAACATGGCAAATTTCTTGTTATATATATTCTACCACAATTTTTAAAATTAATAATGTAATATACCAAAAACCATTGCATGTACATTTTGGGGAAAGTGTATGGCATGTGAATTATTAATATATCCCAATAAAGCTGGGTTTTTAAAAAAAATCAGTATAATTAAAACAGAAACCAAAACCCATAATTACCCAAGATTGGCAAAATGCTGATCATTGTTCTACACAGGTGGCTGAATTCTACAGATTTCAAGGTTCCAGTTTAGGTACTGCTATCTACGAAGGGGCTTTGCAGATGGAATTAAGATTAGTAATTAGCTGACTTTAAAACAGAGAAATTATCCTGTATTATCAAAGCGGGCCCTTAAAGAAAAAGAAGTCAGAAGAGTCAGAGAGACAGGCAAAAACGGAAGCAGGGGGATGAGGATGAAGCTAAGAGGGACCCGACCTGCCACTGCTGGCTTCGGAGACGGAGGAAGGGAGTCCTGAGACAAGGGAAAAGGTAACTTCTAGAAGCCGAGAACAACTCCTGGCCAACAACCTACAAACAGGGACCTCAGTCCTCCACCTGCAAGGAACTGGGTTCTGCCACAACCTGACTGTGGGCCTGGAAGCAGATTTACCTCCAGAGCGTCCAGAAAGGAATGTAGCCCCGCTGCCGCCTCGATTTGGGCCCTGTGAGACTGTAATCAGAGGCCCCAGGTGAGCCACATTGTGCTGGACTTCTGACCTACAGAACTGTGAGATGACAATGGGTGTTGTTTTAAGTCACTAAATTGCTGGTAATTTGCTACTCAGCAGTAGAGAACTACCCTTGTTGCAGCTGCTGTTGGTATAGGGATTATGCTAGACAACTTCCGTGTGTCTGTCTGCCCTCCCCACCCCGATCTGGGCCCCAGGAGGATGACGTCTGTGGCCTCCTTCTCCCCTGGCTTCATAGCAAGAGGTGGATGCAGAGAGGAGAGAGAGACCTGCTGTCCCTTGACCAGCTCACCCTGAGGTCACAGCCCCACTTGAGGTGTCCCTCTCTGCACACCCTCTGCCAGTGTCCCAGGAACCAGTCCCTGCCCAGGTCTCCGGGCCTTAGGGAGGTGGCAGGCCCCTAGCACCTTCCAGGGCTGCTCCATTCCTTTCGTGCTCCCCGCACCCCAGCCACAGCCACAGCTAAGCCTCCCTCAAATCATTCTAATGTGAGTCATCTGTTTTTTGTTGAGACCCTGAGACAGGAGTTCATAACCCTGATCTCTACTTTTGTGTGTTTGGTAAAAATTCCTACAGTTTAGTTTACAAACACACTAAAAAGCTATCTCATAATCACATCTCACAAGTATTAGCATACGCGTTAGTTACTGTATAACTAACAGGTGTGAATTACACAGGTGTACCAAAAAGGTACTAAAAAGTCATACCAAGAAAGTGCTTATTTTGTTAGTGCATTTTGATTTTCA